CGATGACACTGCGTCAAGAGAAATACATTAATTTTTAATTTTATTATCCATTGGTCGTTGAAAAAATAGTGTATGCATGTTGCATAAAACATTATGTTGCTACTATGTACACGAATAAATGACTAATGATAACAATAATAGTCACATCAAGAAATATTCTTTGAATATTGCTTCCCTAGACGATTATGTAGTTGAAGGTAGTTAGCCTGACCATAGTAATTCACGAATAACTCACACAACTATTTCGAGTATTCAATTAATACCGCTCTTGTAGTGAATATATAATAGAACACGTTATTCGATATCTATTCTTTTCATCCACAGATCTCAATTTTGTCCGTTCTCCTGGTGGCAGCCCAAGCTGGTTATCTCTCCCCAGCCACCTCCTACGCTTCCAGCCACCTAGTTGCCCCGATTTCATCCCACGGCTACTACGCGCCAGTCCTAGCCCATGGCTACGGAGGGCACGGCTACGATGAAGGTCGGGACTACTACGCACACCCCAAATACCAATTCGACTACGGAGTGCAGGACCCTCACACTGGGGACCACAAGTCCCAGCATGAAGTCAGAGACGGAGATGCGGTCAAGGGCTACTACACCGTTGCTGATCCTGATGGCACCCTTCGTACTGTCCACTACACCGCTGATGACCACAACGGGTTCAACGCTGTGGTTGAGAAGTCTGGACATGCTGGTCATCCCCAAGTGTATGGGGGTGCTGCTCATGGATATGGATACTATCACTAATGCTAGCCTTCTTTTTGTCTATTCCTGTTGTGTTCTGTTCACGTGTACCTTCTATTTATAATATATTCTTTATGTTTCTCAATTTGTTATTTTTTTGATTGGTGGAAATGATCAATTCATCTTCCTGTTTTTATAAAATTCATATTTACATTGACTCCTACATTTGGTTACTAATGAGAGAGCAAATGGGAGGAGTCGTGTTGATATTTAACATAAGTTAAATTCCTGAAAATAAATCTGAACCTTTATACCTTCCGAATATGTTCTACCCAATTATCATGTGTACTGTCCAACCATCTATGCTTCACATAGATAAACCAGTTACCCGGAAAACTGACATCTCGAAGAATCCTGATGAAAACATCTGTGATTCTGGAAAATATGTGGGGATGGGGCTATAAGATTTTAGACATAGCTTTTGGTATACATGAATTGAAAAAATACTGTCTGTAGGTTAATCGAGGAGGTGGTACATTCATTATTCCAAATTTTTTGGGATTTTCTCTCCTCGTTTCTATAAAATAAAAATATGAATATTAATTCAATATACGTGTAGTAAGGACAAATCAGATGATTTGCCCCAAAATGTCACTGCGTTTGAAGAATTTTCCTATCAGAGAGCCTAAGAGAAAAATTTACTAGCTTGTCAGTGACAATTTGTATCGAAAAAAGTTTGAAGAAGAGAAATAATAATATTTATTTATTTATTTATTTAATTTAAAGTCTCACAAAACACTGTAGAGTAATTAAAGTGCAAGACATTACAAAAGTACCTTGAAACTAGCATAAGTATTGAAAAAGTTACTAAGAAATGAAAGAAATTCACACTTACAGATGGCATCACAATATAAAAATGTACAGAGATGATAGTCAAAAATTACAAACATTTACTAAAGTTACATTGTTAGTGTCTTCAATGCTTTCACATTTGTGTTGAATATATAGTATATATATAATAATATATAAAAAAAATATCAAATTTTCACTTATCTTTGGACGTTTCGGGACCCATTCTGCTCCCGTTTTCAACATGAGATATGATTTTTTCAATAGCTATAAGTCGTATCGTGAAATTGCTATGAAATAGCGAGCGATTTTCAAATTTTTCAAAAACATATCGGAGATTAGGGGGGTGACAAGTTTCAGCTGGGACACATTGTATATACCATTTAGGAAGAAGCTGGTTTGGAGATCTGTGTTGCTATAGAAACAAAAAACTTGAAGGGTGCTTCAGGAACACTCGATTAGTATGATATATAAAGACACATACACATGCGGATAAAGAAACAAACTTCAATTTAAAAATTTTTCAAGAAGATAGTCCTTTGATAATTCTTCCTTGAACTGTTTGAGAGGTAGAGTTTTCATGTTGAGATATAGGGTGTTCAAAATCACGATTTTTTTTTGTGTCGAAACTATTAGTTACCGGTCAAAACAGCTTTCATGCCACTATCTTAACTTTTGATTTACTATCTTAGGGTAGGGTGGTTCATAATTCAGTTTTTTGAATACCATGAAATCGTCTAGATTAAATATCAGTAGATAGTGAATCAAAAGTTAAGATGGGGACATGTGGGTCGTTCTGAACAATAAATCCTGAAGTTTAAAAATCTCGATTTTGAACACTCTATATCTCTGTAATCATTTCCACTAGACACCAAGTGTGATACATTGATGAAAGCAGCTCTTCAAGAAAAATCTGAAAATGTAATGGAATACAGGGTGCTCCATTTGAAAATCGAGAATTCATGCCCGTCACGCTTCAAGTGTTCAACTTTGGAATATGATAATTGCAGAAAAATGTATCCCCCGCCGAATTGAAATCGACTTGTCCGAGAGATTTTCAATTTTTTTAACGACATCGGCGATTTGGGGGTGACAAGGTCTAGCTGGGACACAGTGAGAAACGATCATACTAAAACTGAACAGAGATTATGAGGAATTGTTGAGGTGATCTAATGATTTCACAATCGTTCTTCCTATAGGTTTTTGCTATAATTGAATGATAATTACAAATTAGTGGAATCCATACCCAAGCCTACTGAACTTATATGCAAGGGAGTATTGTCAATTCATATGATGTCATAGTGTGAGAGGATTTCGATGAATATAGTTTCTGCAGACAGCCACAATTTTTTACTCATAGCTAATAACTGCATCTAAATGATTATAGTCTGATTTGAGAACAATGCAAATAGTTACAGTCATTGTTCGCTATCATAATAATTGAAGATAAATAACCTTTCGTGCAAACTATTGCAAAATACAATGCAAAATTGAATGCGTTGAATGTGTTGTCGTGAACAGTCATTACATATCTAATCGAATGTTAAATATCTGAACTGTTGAGTAATAGATTCGAACTCATTTATTCATTCATATAAGGCTTTAAGTATGTATTATTATGCACTGCTAGGTGGTATTGATTGAATTCAGTGTCATTATCTCCAAGTGAGCAGGAAAAATACAAAAACCTTTTTTACTTAAGTACTATACTCATTGATAGGAATGTAGGTTATGGAATTACGTAGTTCCACAAGGGTTGGTTCTTGGTTTAGTCCTCTTTTTAAAATATGTCAATGATACGAAATCCGAAAGAATGCACAGTGATTAAGGATGATACGATATTCCCTCTATCACTATAAGGATATTCCGAAATTGATGAAGACTTGTATGGAAGAAAAACAACATTTCAAGCAAATTAACAATGGATCCTGTATGAATGACTATATAGCTCTAGTGTTTCTTGACGGATGTTTGAATGGTATCATTTCAGCAATAGTTATATATCAATTATGTTAATGAAACCGAAAAAATATTTCAAATCGAAAGTAGCGTGCTTTCACTTCAACAAACAATACGAAAGGTGGCAATATCGTTTCAAGAGGAAATCTCACAATATTCCGAAAAATATGAGATAAACTTCTGGGGTATCTTGTGTCATGTACCAATGTAATCTATGTGATATTGGTTCTCACTATGAGAACAACATAGAAACGTTATTTACTTCTATTCCAAAATTAATATCCTATATTTTCTCGCCTACTTTTCGTCCTAGGTGATAATTCAGGCAGTTTCAACACAATTACTAAACTATGGTACACTTCAAACCCTAAGAATCAACTACATTTTACTTCAGTAATTGTTTGGTAGTACTATGAGTGCCATACATATGTATACTTTATGTCAGTCTTGAAATTGAAAAATGTTTCGAGTATACTCAACTTTGATTTTACTCTTGATGTTCACAGATGATCACATCAGGTTTTCTCGTTATTCCTAAAATGAAATACCTATATATCGTCAAATGTTTGTGTTGATTTTGTTTTTTCTGTACAACAGGCCTTATAATATTTCCATGTTGACTATGCAGTTTCGCCCTCATGTATAACGTCATCAGAAAGGAATTCCAAGAATTCAAGATGATGTTTTCGGCTATAATTGCACCAGTGCATAAAAATTACCGATAATTTTGCAAGAAAGCCTGTTATCTAAAAATTGCAAGAGTTTATTCCGCATATTGAATGCCCAGTTCGTTAATATTCCGTCCGTATCTTTGTCCAGGTAATATCCTTTGGCCTGGCAGAAATCCATAAACTGTCCTGTTGGTTTTGGTATTTGTTGGTTCACTTCCATTTATACCTTTCATAAAGTCTATTTGACATTTTTTTGTGTTGTTTACTGGCGTCTAATAGCGACATAGTGTTGTTATGACGACATATGATGCTTTCGCAGTGCAATCTTCGCCCTGCAGTGCAATTACTGCTGTAATTTTTCGAGAACCGCATTGCTCTTATGGGACATTTTATATATGATGGAAATATTTGCCGTAATCATGTCAGTGAATATCTATATATCTGATCCATTCTACATTGTTATATATATTTACTCGATTTCAACCGATCGAAACTTTAGCAATCTTGAATAAAACTGGAGTAATGATAGCTATAAGGATTGGGGGGAGGGGATTGGTGTTGCAATTTTTTTTGAACTTTTGGATGTTATAAGTTCTTGAGTATACTTTCATAGGCAAAGAATCCCAAAGCATATCCTACACTTTGGTTGAATAGTGTATGAATGCAGCCGAATGCATCTCGTGCGGCACACCCAAGATAAAATCAAGATTTGCACAAAAATACGATAAACCCGTACACACTGTGAATCAATCCTGACCTTGCTACCAATTTCATTTGACTTTCAATAGACGCCTGATTTTTTTCTGCTGAAAATGCAGCTTGACAAATGTGGCAGTTTTTTCGAATAGTGTCAGTGAACGTTGCATACGGGGTAGGTTGAAGCATGTATAAAAGATCTGTTGGCATGGTGGGTAGATCAGTTCTGTTTGATTGTAGTTGCAGTTCTTTCATAGAGTGCAATATGTTGGCAAAGGTGAGGAATTTCATTGCGTGACCAGTTAGGATAGATATACATATATTTTTCTTGATCGTTCCATCCGGTGTGGTCAATTCACTTCTCAGAAGAGTGATATATTTTGTGATACTTGCTATAGTCCGAAACAACTAAATCTGCTCATTTTTCATTCCAAAATCAAGCAAATTCACTGAAAGTGACTACAGTGAGAGATACTTGTGAGCAGACATACTATACATTCCAAATATTTCGACTCAACAATCTGCTGAATTTGCTGACTATAATAAGGTAGTGTGGCTTCAGTGAACTGCCATTTTTTGAAGGGGAAAGAAATGTCCTTGGTTTTCAAACATTAAGTCTTGTCTTGTCTTATCAATTATACATCAATTATATTATATATATATATACAGGGTGACATCAAAATAAATACATTAAATTCAAACTCTAAGTAGGCTTGAGGTATACTAAAGAATGGCATCATTGAAGAAGATATAGGGCTCAAAATGAAATTCTATTCATCGAGAGCTAGTCGCTCATGGAAGGCATATCAAAGGAAGATAATTGATAATAGTTAATATGAATTTTCCATGTTAAATCTTGGATAAAAAGGAAATAGCTGTTTGCTTTTCGAAACCCAGTTCAGTGCAGGCAAAATATCTTGAAATGTGTTACTGTAAGTATGAGTACATCGAATAAAATAGATAGAATTGTGTTTTGCCTGTAACTCTCATTTCAATTAGCATTATGTAGGTATCTCCAATTGGTTATTTTCTACTTTTGCTTATTTAGGTATCAGAATAGGTATTCGCCCATAAAAATTTGGCAATGCTGTAGCAATTCTGATGTCAATTCAATCAAACTTTCATTGGGACGACTGAGTCATGATTTCAATATTTCGGAAGTAGCGAATTCAATTTTTCTTAAATTTTTTGTCCAATTTTCGGGTTAATATAACTCGTTAATTCGGAATATAGCCTGTATATAGTTTTATAGAGAAAGAATTGAGAAACTTGTTTACAAATGAATCTCCACTTTCATTTTCAATTATTCATTTTGACAAAAATGGAATGACTCGATTAAGCGGCGATCTCTTTTATATTGAAATTCAATTTTTTGCAGTTTTTTTCTCTCTAAAATCAATCATCAATGTGAAGTTTTGAGAACGAATCAAGTTCGAAAATTCCGTGATTATCAATTATTACTGTTATCAAATATTATTCATCTGGTGAAAAGATTTTTGGAAATGAAGTAGTCATTGTTGGAATATATATAAGAGAAAACTTTCGAAGTTCATTCATTTCTTCTCAATAAGAACGTTCATACAATTATTGTCATAAGCAGTTATTAGTTTTAAGTCGTAAGAAAAGTCAGCCAACATTCATTCCTTATGACTTACAACTCAACACTTATGACTAATTTGCTCTGCGCATATGAGCTATGCTCTTGCATTTTAATTTTGGTCTGTTCACGTTTGTTCCAATCAAATCAAATCAAATCCAGAACAGATATTTGTAACTGCTGGATAATATAAAAAAAACCAGACATGTATGAAACTGATAAACAATAGGCAAAATGAGCTAATGAATCGGGGTGCTTTTCTTAAGATATGACAGTCCTTATTATTGCTGCATGAATCACTATTTTCCCCTTAAAACTTGTTACTTAACACCTACGAATTAAAACCATGTTTATAATGATCCTTTCCTACATAAATAATGATTCACGACATAATTCGATCGAAAAATCAACTGGAATGTTTTATTTTTGGACATAAATAATAGTACCTTCTGAAAACGGACCCTCTTATGACGTAGAAACCTCATCTCGCCATAGTTAAAGCTGACACTTATCACTGTTGCCATATCATCCAAACAAAATATCCGAGAGATCGAAATTGATATTGAAATATCTTTTGATATCCACTACCACTACTGCAGGAAAATATATTCGAGTTGTCGATTGTAGGTTCATTCATTGGAATATAAACAATCTCTATACAACGAAATGTCTCAATCTTAAAACCATTTGCACCATTACAATTTCACAATAATCCAATATATTTCATAAACGCAGCAACATTGCTTTGTTGACCCGTTTTACATGAAGCTGCAAAAAGTTAATATAGGTTAGAATTGATCTTCTTCTTGTTCTTATTATCTTTGTCCCAAAAAACAACTTGCCGATTAACCAATCTTGGTGCTTTGTCAGAAATCATGTATCATTCATCTTTGTCTGGAATAGTCTTGTTTCAGTATTAGGGTTTTGACGTCACATTATCGCCTCGTTTTCAGAGGTCCGAAAAATCGGGGATTTCAATAATTTTTTATAAAACGTAGGGAGCTCACAGCAAGAAACGGTTTGCTTTGGTGAGCTACTTTGGGTGATTTCTATCGAATTATGAAATAAAAATGTTTTGTGATATAAGCCCATTATACTCGCCATTATATCTGTCCAATATCAAAGAATTGTTTGGCAAATATCTTTGAAGAGAGAATCCCAATAGGCTTTACAACCTCAAAGACAGGTTTTTAATATTTCAATAACCTAGTATAATGTACGAGTAAGTGTAAGGTTTACATAGAATATTAGTATGCCATATGTGTAGAGACTGATATTGATACCTACCTTGTTTCTCATTAGTTGTTAATATACTGCTACAATTCGAATGATTATCATAATATATCAATAATCGATAATTGATAATGGCCTGACAGTCTACCTTGACTTAACTCGACCTCATGATTATGATAAAATGAACATTTCATAATAAGTATTACACACAATGCCGTTACATTGTACACATAAATGAACTAGATCCATTCTTTAATGAATTCGTTAGATTTCTTAATTAATGTTCCTATTATAATTTTTCCGAAAATGAAAATATTTTATTCATGACTGAAGTAAGCAACGCGTATATTAACATAATTGAAATATTTCTTCAGAAATATTATAATCATATTGTGATGAAAATAGTTTCATAATGAATACTGTAACAGTCAGAGTTCTTCATCCCCATGACGATGATACAACAAATCTTTGGTACGAATGAATTATTGTCGGATTGCGATTTAAGAAACATATTATTGCTTCCTTGGAGAATATCACTGGATATTTTGTGAACTGAAAGGAATTTCCTCCTGTACATTAGCAATGTTTACAAGCTGTTATCACTCTTTTTTAGGTTATTGCTATCGCTACTTTTGTAGCTTCGACACAAGCAGGCCTCTTAGGTGCTCCTATATCGGCCCACAGTCTAACGTTGGGCCCAACTTATGCCGCTCCTGCATATGCTGCTCCTGCATATGCTGCTCCTGCATATGCCACCCATGCTTATGCTGCTCCTGCATATGCCACCCATGCTTATGCTGCTCCTGCATATGCCACCCATGCTTATGCTGCTCCAGCATATGCTGCTCCTGCCATTCTGAAGGCTCCAATAGCTGCCCCAGCCATTGTTAAAACTGCCCCTTCTGTAGACTATGTGGTGAGTAATCATGATAAATTGATTGATTGATATGTTACGATCGAAGGAATATTGAGAAAACTGTTTTGAGCAAACTAGAAAGAAATTAGTAGACATAGCCCTCATGAAAAGTTAACCGCATACATGCTTGAAACAATATTCCTCTTATCTTGATTCCACTCTTGGACTTGGATGTCATGCAGCTGTCAGAGTCAGGTTATTGACTTCGTTATTGTGTCGTTTCGTTTTCCACCAAGGGTTGCCTATCTTTTGCACTTTCTTCACCGTACTGATGAGGGTCTAAAGCCCAAAAACCGTGTCTGCTCTTAACTCCTCATGAAGGCTTCGTCCACAAATTTCTTTCTAGTTTGCTTAATATGTTACTATCTAGGTTACTATAAATACAGTATTTCTTATACGAACACTATGTTTATGTTCCAAAATGCTCTGATTCCATTTTTTTTATATTAGATTGATTGAGGAAATGGAGTTGTTTTTTCCTCAAGCTGAATAGAGGATGCAATTTTTCAGGTTCCAGATATAATTGATGTACCCTTGAGTTCTCATTATAGGCATGTCTGATCTATGAGACTCCATAGATTAGACATGCCAGATTCTCTATGTATCTGGGAGCTTTTCCAGAATAAGGTACCTCAATCTTGACAAACCCTCACAGTTCAATGAGTCTACAATACAATACAAGAAGTTTCATTATAATCCAAGTTGTACTTCTGGTCCTACCCAGTATATAGTCTATGAATGTTGGATTTATTTCTGATAGGCTCTTCAGGCTTTCTCAATCCTGATGATGTTCTGTGTCATCAATTTTGTCTTCCTATATATTCCTCACCATACCTACCATAAGAAGTATTCTATTAATAAAACTTCCATTTCTCTAGAAAAGCCGATCTCACTGTGCCCAACATGAGCTTGTCAGCAATAATCATACCTTTGAAGACATTCATTTCGATGCTTTGTATTACTATCAGCACTAACCTTTCCCGGAAGAAGCACGTGAGATCAATTGCTAAAAGTGCATCCCAAAAACTAGCTGGGCTAGGAGCTATTTTACTTCTGGTCAGCTGCTTATGATCTATAAGGCACAGATCCGACTCGTTCTGGAATATTGTTCCCATATTTGGAGGGACAATTCGTCTCGTGGGTGATGCCTTGCTCACATACTCACCCACTTCTTTGGAACACCGTGAAAAAGTTGGCGATCTGGCTCTATTTTATAGATATTTTCATGGACGATACCCTTCTGAAATTCCAACAATTGTTCCTTCCTTGGCAGTCCCCGCGAGATTAACATGTCGAGTTGAGGCTTAGCACCCCTTCGTGGTCACTTTGTAGACCAGCAGAACATCTCTTTCCAAAGACTCGTTCATCCAACGAGCAGCGAGGCTCTGTAGCACATTGCCAAGGGAGGTGTTCTCCGAGGCATATTACCTCCAGAAACTCAAGAAGAACACCAATTCCTACCTCATCTCCCTTGGTTCTCACGATGTTCTCTGAACGTTACGGGATATTCCTTTTCGTGCGAACCAGAACATGAAAAAAAATTTGCTGCTTTTTGCTTTTTGCCATCATGATAACCTGTAGATATGTATTGATACTCATGTTGAGCTCTGAAGTCAGTCTGTTCTGACTGATCAAGGCCTCTGAGCAATCCCAGTAAAGGAGTATATCAGTAGTACAATATCATTGTTTGGAGAAAAACCTGACCTATTGTAATAACAATTTCGATTGATTCGAAAAGATTATAATCTCAGACGAAATATATTGGTTGAAAGTGACAGTACACCGCTTCAAGTTAAGAATTCCAGGCGGGCACAGAATATAATTTATGTAAAATTTCATCGAATCTAGAACAAAAGTGATATAACTGGACGCACACTATAAAAGGCGAGGCAATAAAACAACGAGAAATCTAGGTCTCTCTGGTTTTCAGTAATAGTGAAATTACCAGATGTCTCGACGTTAAGCGCATTCTAGACACTCCGACCTTGAAAGCGAAAGAGAAGATCAAAACGATGAGTTGATGAGGAACTGAAACGAGTCGAGTATGGTCAAGTACAAGAAATTTCTTCGCTTGATTGGTATTATTGTCATGGTCAAGAATTGGTATTGCGAGAGGATGCATTGTTGGTTTGTGGTCTGATCGGTTTGGTTGCGTTTAAACTTCGACGGATTATCCTTGGTAATGCACATCTACAAAATCTACGTCTTCTATCGAATTTGCCGTTTATGATAAGTGGCTTTTCCCAATCTAATGGTGATTCACTCTCTGATGGCAGGTCACACAAACTTTTATCTGTGAATTTCAGCTGTCCTCATAATCTCATTCAATTTGTTCAAAGTATACTTGGACAGACAGTGCTATAGGATTACCCTACTACACGGTATAAAGCTGTACCGTTAGCAAGAAATTACACTCACAGTACTCACAGTACTGCACGCAATAGGGACCCATCTTTTAATCACTATACTGTTATACTTAACCGTTTTCGCCGCTTTGCTCGATTGGTTTGTTAATCGCCAACATTAAACGAAATGACAACATGAAACGGAAAGTGAGGAAAGTTACATGTCAGCATTTCACAGTTGAATAAGGCGGGAATTTTGAAATCCTAGATGAAATCAAACAATTCAAGTCTTGGAATCGAAATAAAGAATGAGATGTTGGAATTATAAATGATTTTGTACAAAATCAAAATGTTCAATTAACATTTCAGCCATGCGGTCTATAGCCTGATATAATTCATAATGTTATCAGCTATTCCCAAGAGATAAAATTAGCTTTCATTCAATTTTATTTCTTTAAAATCGATTTCTGATGATATTCAAGATTTATATCTGATAGGGGCTAATGTTTTTATTTTAAAAATTCAGATAATTCCGTTCAAAATCACAATTAAGGGGGAGAGCAAGGGTCAAGTAACATTTTCTGAAAATATTCGGTTATGTCATGGAAGAACGTGTTACATACATAATATGTAACTCGTCCTGTCAGGATTTGTTTTTATTCCTTATATCTGAGCAGATTCACAGTGGTAGATGGGGCTATGTTACATTAAACATCAAGGATGGAAGAAGGGGTCATGTACGCTAAATCCAGATGTCTATAAAAAAATTATATGATAGCAAAATGCTGTAAATCATAAAAAATCAACCTGAAACTATTCCTCACAATTGCATAAATTCAATTATTAAACTAGCTTCCGTAAAAAAAATGCCAGCTAACTTTACTAAAACCTATTTTTCTCACAAACTCATAATTGTAACATAACCCCTTCTTTCACTTGCCCCTTCAATTTTCATTGAACATTTCAGATAAGCGGTATATGGCCTGATATAATCAATAATATCAGCTATTCCCAGGAATTCAAATTTGATTTCATTCAAATTTATTTCTTCAAAATCATTCTATTTTCTCAACCAGGTGGCGTTACTGAGTGTGAGGTTCATGTCAAACATGAATGTCGAAGTCAAAAGTCCTAGAATTTTGTCGGATAATCCTGTTTCTTTTTTGAAAATCATAATCGAAAAAATCGTGTGGCCTGATTATCACACAAATAGAAACCCAAGTTATGATGATGGTGAAGCTTGAGAAGACTTGCGTTAATTACTGTCACTTTACGAAAACTTCAACATTAATAGAGAAGATGCAAGAGCAAAGAAGATGCCAAATGAAACAAAAACAAGATGTAAATCTGTCAGTTATACCAACATTGAAATAACGTCTGACTACCGTGATTTGGTGGACAATCAAAATATGTTAGCCCTGATCTCAATGAAACTGAAGATAATTATTGTTATGGTGCCTTATCGTAACCATGCTCGACAGGCCTACCCCAAATACCAGTTCACCTACGGCGTGCAAGACGGCCACACCGGCGACCAGAAGACCCAAAGCGAGTCCAGGGACGGCGACGTCGTCAAAGGGCAGTACTCCCTGGTGGAACCCGACGGTACCGTGAGAACCGTCCAGTACACCGCCGACGACCACAACGGGTTCAACGCGGTGGTCACCAGGTCGGGGCACGCTGCCCACCCCGCCACGCCCGTCATCGCGCAGAAAGTCATCGCTGCGCCAGTTGTGGCGCAGAAGGTTATCGCTGCGCCGCATTACGCGCAGGTGGCCGTGCCGCAGTATGCGCAGGTGGCTGCTCCGCAGTATGCGGCTTCTTTGGGATTAGGTAAGCTTTCATGGACTCTGACACAAAACAGCGCACTACAGAACAGCGAGTAACAAAACAGTGCAAGAAAAACAGGGCCTATCGAAATGGCGCGTCAAATTATACCGCCATAGGTCAACAAATTTTTCAACGATTGATCGTGAGACAAATGGGTTAGCTTGTTTATGTCGACTTTAGTTTTCTTTCTTTACGATCTTTTATCCAGCTCCAGATATTTGGGATTCATTTTTTATGTATACTTTCATTTGTTATAGACATATTGAGTCTCAAATTGTTCAAACAAGAGCCGTGTTACTGAAATATTCCTGTGCTAGGGACTATCTACCTGAACAAACTAACCAATCTGTATAGTGTTTCTCTATGAGAAAAGCGGTACACGAAAAAAAAAAAAGGAATTGTTGAAGCAAGTAGAATGAAGCAAATAAAAGTGTCATATATGCACGACAAAACATAATCTTGAAATGAGTGAATCTATACCTTGTTTCAGAGCGAATTTGCAGTTTGAATAGAGTGAATAATATGTCTTGCATGAACTTTGGATCTTATTCCAAGCTTATCCATGCATTGTTCTTAAAGAGACATAGAATTGGATCAAGCAATCATTTTGTTTGATTCAATATAACAAGATATTGATTCAATCAAATATTCAGTTGATTCAATGATGTATTTGGATGATTTAAAGAAATGTTTGGTTGATTCAATGAATTATTTGGTTGATTCAAGAGAAACTGTATTTTTATTCGTCAAATTGTTTTGTTGAACCAAATTTATAGTATTAATTCGGGAATTTTCTGAAATTTCACAACAGAGAAATGAACTAAACTAGGAAACTATTCGATTTCTAGCATAGATCTCCAGTCTCTACTTCTCTCCAGCCATTGCAAAACTGTTTCGGATTGCTAATCATCAAGATCGATTTATTCAGCTGATAATTCAAACACGAAGGATCAGGCTTCACGTATATTGTGAATTCGAGGCAAAATGATTGCCATCTACAAGCAAAAATCCAACTTGGATGAAAAATGAACAAAATATTACATTATTATGACATATTTCGTTGCTTTATTCAAGCAAATGATCCGTTCGAAACAAGTTCGTTGCTGATCATTTTGCATCGGAATAAGAAAACTTCTATCTTGTTTCAAAGATATATTCCCATACAAATGATCATTATTTGATCAGATCAACGAAATGTTTATAGTTGAGTCAACATCGACATTATTTTGGATCAAGATAATTTGTTTTTTGATAAAACCATATATTTTGTTGATGGAGCTGATATTATACTGTAGATTCAATGAGACTACATTCCTGATTTGAACAAGCTGCTTCCATGAAAATAATCATGTATCTGGTTGTTTCAACAAAAAACTGCTTAGTCCAACAAAAATAATTCAAGCCTAAATAATTTTGTGATGCAACGAATCATTTTTTTCCGCGTAGGTCAATGAGGTTATCAGCGATATTTCGTTACACGCTATTTCGTATCCGCCATATTATGCCATATATGCGCTGTTTTGTGACAGAGCTATCCTCATGAGTTCTCTTTCGATATTAAATGGCAATAAATCTTCCAAAACACTATAGCTGCCTTGATTAATTTAACGTATTTGGTATTTCAAGAGATCTGACACCCGTCGAGCGATGAGAATCAGATACAAAAACGAAATAAATGATACTTTGCAAAACAAGGACCTCAATATGTTCATGATCCACCCACACGTTCAGCGAAGTGAGAAGCTATTTTTCGATCTTAGTCTAATATTTTTCATGAAGTGTTCTTGCTCGCAGGAAAATTTTGTGTGAGCAGAGCAAAGTGAAAGACATCTGCTATAATAGTGATGCCTAATCAAAAAAACTGATGAGCCCATGGTCTTTTTCTGGTTTCCTTAAACATCAAAGAATATCTTCTTCAAAAAAATATAGTCTCGATATTCTCATATTATAGAAGACTCTATCCAATTTGGGCTATATGCTATTCCACTCCTCCACTTTTTTCGATATTTGAATATTATTAGTTGTGTTCGGAATTTCTGATAAGTAACCCAATCATATCTGAAATATGTGTAGGATTGATTCATTTTATTGGATATTTAATCATGAATTCCACTCAATAATAATTCAGTTAATATTCATTTCATTTCACCTAAAAATTTCAATCACTCACCTAACAAATTCTGCTGATTGAACTAATGTTCTAATTACATTTTTCAATATGAATAAATTAACGTTTCGCTATTTTTCCCGATTTGATGTCATTATTTGTCAATTGTTTATGTAGTCAATCCTGGCTACTTTGTTCATTCTGATATCGTTTCGAGTGATTGTCAATGCTTCACGTTGAGTTCTCAACGATTGAGAAATTACATTATTGGTGCTTGTAAAGTGGGATATACTGTATATAATATAAAAATGTCGAATCCATCAACGCACCAACATAACATCCCCTCCTCCAAACTTCATTTTCTCATTTTGTATACATCAGGAAGTACAATTATTTTGCGTTGATATTACGAATGGGAAAATATGACATAAATGTCAACCATAGGAAATGCTTTGATCCTGTCACTCAAAGAAGGAAAACACAGCTCAAATCTACTTGAATGATGGCTATCCGGTACACATACTGAGAACTATTGCAAAATTCTGTTTGTTTCAGGTCATGATCTTGGATTGGGATACCTCAAAGGCTAAACTTCTTCACGACATATACCTCGGGACCAAAGCGTTTTGTTAGCTGTAGGCTCGAAAATATTCACGCCGTATATTATTTGCCTTATATTAAAGCAAGTACCTAGCAAGGCGCTTACTGAAAACTAGATTATTCTTAGAAAAATCGCCAGTTCAAGTATTGGCGTATTGCCCTAATATTTATTTTTATTTTCCTCCACTGCTGATTTTTCTGGGAATAGCTTAGATCGAACCGCTATTCTTTTTGATTTCTTGTTTACGTTATCTCTATCTCGTTGTTCACCTCATGTGCTCCATATGTTTTATTATATTATATTTATGTAAATATCACCTTAGGTTATGTATCATGAATTTCATGCATTGTTGTTTTGCTTATTGATTAATAAGTATTTTTCTCAAATAAATGATTATCATTTCATGGCATGAAACTGTGTGAATATAATTATTATGTATTTATCTTTCCTCGCAATATTGACTTTCATCAATCGTGAATACATACTATATATATATAAAATCAATTATACAAATTTTCTGGTCCTCTTGTAGCAAGTATTTTGGATGAGAATGAAGATTGATGATCATGGTAATCCTTATGAAAGCGACTATACGGAAGAAAAATTCTATATATTCTTCCCTTTTGAAAAAACACAATAACAGTCATGAATTCCGTGCATGACCATGACTTCAACTTGGGTATATGACTTCTTTGTAAGGTTATATTCAATCTAGACAAATATTTGATACTCGTTTCTGACGTTATTTAGACTTTTATATCATTAGGTAAATGATGTCCAGCTCAGAAAATTGTGTTGTCCTCAATTCTGAGCTTGTAGTGATAATTCATCGATCTGCTATTGACCTTACCTACTGGACATGAATATTACCTATGTCTACTCAAAACATTATCAACATTTGAGGTTTTTTGATATTGTTTTCATATCATTTGCTGTCCATGAATTACTAGCCATACTTCAGTCATATCGATAGTATAAATAAATAAGAGGATTAAGTGTGTCATTACACAAACAGTGATAATTTATTCTAATCAAATATAAAATTATAGGCTATGATATTATACCTTGAATTGATGCGGATATTGCAGCAACACATAATGCTCAATATAATCAATGCCAATTTTATTTGATGTTTTAAAATTATAGAGTAGAGAATCTCAGTTCTTTGATCACTCACAAAGATACTGAAAAGTCAAATTGAGAAATCATGCCTGAATATATATATTTCGACAACTGAAACGCCATGTTCAGTGTTTTACGAGATAGTCTTCAGAAATAGCCATCGACCTTAGTAATTTCTGGAGGATATTCTCGTCATAATTTCAGCAATAATCTAATGGCATTCTACAGGCATACCAAATTTCAAGTTCATTGTTTCTTGTAGCTACAGAGCTGATGTACAACATAATTGCTAGATGAACCTTTGACTATTGAACTTACTAGCATGTTGAATGACAGTGGCGGATTTGCAGTCTTGGCCGCCCTATAGGGCCCCAGCTCAAGAAATTTTTTCATTGCCAACTTCTTACGAAAACAATTCAGGAATTCAGTTAACTATAAAGGCTGGTACACTGAGAAAACTCGGCCAAGTAAATTGTTTTCTTGAAAAAAAAGTCGATTGTGACAAGAACATTTTCACCAACTGTAGGAAAATATGGTACTTGCAGTAGGTAAAACTATATTTCTGGAACGAAGTTTCTGCTGTAAGCTGTAAGTGATCAGAACACTTGTTGGTATCAACCAAGTCGATATGTACTTAGAGTTCGCTAATTCTAAGTGAACACTAAACTAGTGCTAGGTTAACGAATACTCACTATTATTAAATTATTTTTCTGACATAAGATCACTTGCTCTGAGCGAACTCATCAATAAAGACAATCTATCAAGTCGATTGTTGCAGGTGACAGCTCACCTGTAGTTATAGATCTCTTTTCCGTTCGTAAATCTCCGATATCATTCGAGTACCCACGCCCAACGCGATCACTGTCCAGTGTCCACGAGTCCACGGCGTCATTTCGATCTTAGCATTCGTGAAGTTAGTATACTTGCGTTCCCGCTAGTAACATTGAAATTCCAAGTCATGCAAGTGCCCTTTCGAACTACTACTATATCATATTCGTATGAGAATTCTCTGTTTGTGTGCCGTGCTCTGTGGCCGTGCTCTGAGCTGTGGGGTGTTGAGTTCTTGATCTGTTCTCTTGAAGGAGATGATGAAATACAAAACTCTTCTAGAACAGTACATAATTGTTTCTACATATATACAGGATTTTTTTCCACTTCCTATGATACTCGAAGTGGAAGGAAGTGACGTTTAAAAAGTATGAAAGTTAATTCATCTTCAATGCTGGAAGGAAAAAGATAGTGAACCAGAGTGCAGTGCAGTGAGTGATAGTACCGTTTTTCTCGGTGCATGATGCTGATATACGCGGTATGTAGTATCTCAATATTTGTCGTCAGTCTTACCTTTTTTGTATTTTCTGGATTCATCATACCTATATAATAAAAATGTTTTGAATGCATGTGTGTTTGTCTCATCACCAAGGTTTTATCATTCTTCAGAGAACAATGGAGGTATTTTTTCATACTAGCTAATGACCAGTGAATAAGTCACTAATGACATGTAATTAGGCCACTAATGACTAGTGAACAAGTCACTAATGAAAAGTGAATGAGTCACTAATGACAATTGAATAGGTCACTTATGACAAGTGATGTGTTCACTAACCGTTATCACTCTGAAATTTAATGAAACAGGTCAATAGTGGTAGGTGTGCATTTTCAGGAACACAAATATTCTTGTGGTTATTAACTTGTTTCCTTGTCCCATATAGTATACAATTTTTTACTTGCCACTATTGAATATTCACTTAGGGTTAGTGATTTTTTTTCTCCGTGTAGGTTTCAGAGATATAGGTAATTGCATATTTGAATTAAACTTTCGAGTTGGTTTTGGTTTTTTTTATCCAACTACAGGTCTCAATTTTTTTATAATGCAATGAACACGAGAATGAAGATATCATTCTAAAACTCATTGTTCTGTTCAGACTTCTGACGAGCTTATAGTTAGAAATAAAAACAATTCATTATTAAGTAATTTATAAAAGCATCCCATCGTTCCTTGAGTTCTCCTGACAGTGTATCAATTATTATCAAAAAGTTGTGATTCTGAAATTTTTGAATCACCAACATAACTGGACTCGTCGTGTCGACAGAAGAGATTCATGTTTTTTTTTTGTATTTGATACTTTTTAAGGAATGCTAATTAGAACTTTTGTTCGAAACAAGCCAAGGAACCAGCGCCTTCAATGTGTACTTGATATTCAGAAACACCTTATACATATCATTCCTTATTGGTATATTCTTGCCGAACTGCCATACTAAAGTTTCTGAAGTATCAGACTATAACTCAATCAAAATCAGATAGGTACTTAGTCCAGCGTGAAATTTAATTAGGTATCTATTTCTGTTAACCTCGATTCACATCTTCCACCAATCCAACTGCATATATTATCAATACGAATATTTCTGATTTTCCGCATTCTGCATCACCCATTCCCATATCATGTTTTACGATAGATATTACATTCGAGGAACTGAAACATTAAACACACGTTAACTGCTGAATCCGAACTGAAACATAATATTAAATGAAGCGTGAACCCTACTTTTGCTTTCGTAATACACTATTTCGCGTACAACATACACTAGCTAATACACTTTCAGTTTCAAAGATGACCGCAGGTACCATTGACTCCGATAGTCAGTCAGATGAGACGGTATATGGGAGTTGGTTTGTTTGTGATTTATCTGTTCTGGAATGTTATCTGAATCGTTTCATTTTGTTAATTGAGAAATGAAAGAAACTAGTATATTGGGCAACAAATTGGGAATAGTATATTGTTTAACGAGCACGAAATGATAGTCATTCCTCACGAGAATGACGTTTGCAGCATGAGCTGTACATGAATGCTACAAATCATATGTGTGCGAAATTGACATTCCGTACGAGTAGAGGTTGTCCCCAAGGAGAGGTAGTGTCTCCTCTTTTACTGGCTTCGATATTCAATGCTATGCGGATGACATCGTCATAATAATAAGAGGTGAGCATGATAGGAGTTTATCAAGCCTAGTGCAGACTGCACTCACAATGTTGAAAGACTGGTGCTTTCAGGAGGGCTTGAATGTCAACTCAAGCAAAACAGTCATCGTTTCATTCACCAAAAGAAGGAAGATCAATTTAGGTCGAATATCTAGGAGTAATCCTAGACAAGAAACTTACGTGGAACCAACACTTGACCAAAATCGTCAATAGGTCAATTTCAGCTCTCTGGATATGCCGAAAGATGTTTGGTCAGACGTGAGGTCTTGAACCGAAAATGATCAAATGTTTTTACCTCACGGTGGTCAGACCCATGGTCACATATGTGTGATGGACCGAAAGTAAGGGAGAAACAGCACAACGAAAGCTGCAAAAAATCCAGAGACTCGCATATGTCTTGAGATCACAGGGGCTATGCGTACGTGCCCTACTGTAGCAATAAAAGCTATATGCTCGATCTACTACCCTTGCATATTTTTATCAAGAGAACTGCAGCTCTCAGTGCATACAGACTGAATTCCACTGAATTGGCCAGACCAGGTGATGTCACTGATCACATGGTCATTCTACAAAAAGAACAAAAGGAATCTGCAACCAAACCATCAGACTAAATGCCAGCCAGGCTCAGTCTCGATCCTGCCTTTGAAGTGGTTATTAAAAGTCGCTCTAGGTACGGTTCCGCTGAGCCTCAGCTGGACAGAAAGTTCCTTATTTGCTACACCGATGGTTCGAGAATGGAAGAAGGGGTAAGCACAGGTGTATATGGACCCAGATAAAGGCTATTTGAAGCCTTTGGTCACATCTTCACTATCTTCCAAGCTGAAATAGATGTCATCAACTTATGAGCCCAAAGGTGCCTGAGCAAAGGTCTGAGGGTGCCAACATATATATCTGC